AGAAATACTGGGCTATTGTCAAGCGGAACCTAAAGAAGACCAAAAAAACTGCTAAGGGCGAGCAGCAGTTCAAGGCAAACTGGCTTTCTGTGGCGTAGAAGGTGGACAAGGTGGCTGTACAAAATCTGATGGCAGGGGTCAAGCGTAAGGCCCGGCAATTCGGATTTGGAAAAGCGGAAGCCTAACTGAATATTTTTCCTGAATTTTATACTAATTGAACTTGAAAAAGAAATTTAATTTGATTTTTTAAATAAACGATTTCACCGATTTACACGCATTTTCCCTTGACCGAATTTTGACCGTATCACCCTTTAGTTGCAGTATGCATGCGCTCAAAACTCTCGACGGTGCATAACACCCGTCGAAGTTGAAAGCTGCGACCCAACATTGAGCAACTACGGGACGCTGGAGTTGCCCAGGACTACGCGCAGCAGCTGGAAGTTGCACTACCCACGGAAGAGCAGCTTGGCGCAGCTTCTCTTGAAGATGGCTGGAGAACATCCGTTACGCCATAGGTAGTACTGCTGCAGCGGCACTAGGTACTGCGGTCCCGGACTGTAGAAATGACTGGTTTGACGGCGAATGCAAACTGTTAGTAGAGGAGAAGAATGCAGCACGGGCGAGAATGCTGCAACACCGCACGAGATTGAATGTGGAGCGATACAGACAAGTGCGGAACAGACAAAACCCGGTTTTCCGCAGGAAGACCGAGATCACGAGGCAATGGCAAATCTGGCAAATGGCAAGGACTTGGACGGTAACCTTCTCACGACCGAGTGTGAGGTGATTGAGAGGTGGAAGCAGTACTATGACGTGCACCTCAACGGTGAAGCAGCAGAAAACGAAGGTGGCACGGCAACAGACCTTGGAGCACGCGCAGAAGACGACAGGCTACCGGCCCCTGATCTTCAAGAAGTTGAGGAGGAGATCGGTCGGCTGAAGAACAACAAAGCAACTGGTGTAGATCAACTACAAAGTGAGCTATTAAAATACGGTGGTGAAGCACTGGCTAGAGCGCTGCACTCGGTAATTGCCAAGATTTGGGAGGAGGAGATATTACCGGAGGAGTGGATGGAAGGTGTCGTATGACCAATCTACAAAAAGGGCGACAAGTTGGATTGCTGCAACTACCGCGCGATCACACTGCTGAGTGCCGCCTACAAGGTACTTTCCCAAACTCTATGCCGCCGCCTGTCACCATTTGCAAGAGAGTTTGTGGGGCAATACCAGGCGGGATTCATGGGTGCCCGCGCTACCACGTATCAAATTTGCGCGATTTGGCAGGTTCTGCAGAAATGCCGCGAATACAACGTGCCCACACATCATTTGTTCATCGATTTCAAATCCGCATTCGACACAATCGATCGAGATCAGCTATGGCAGATTATGCACGAGTACGGATTTCCGGAAAAACTGACGCGATTGGTCAAGGCAACGATGGATCGAGTGATGTGCGTTGTTCGAGTATCGGGGACACTCTCGAGTCCCTTTGAATCTCGAATGGCTAAGGTGATGGACTTTCGTGTCTGCTATTCAACATCGCGTTAGAAGGTGTGATCAAGTGGCACGATATTCAGGAAGTCCATCCAACTTCTTGGCTTCACCGATGACATCGACATCATGGCACGGAACTTTGAAATGATGGCGGAAACGAACATCAGACTGAAGACTAAAGCTAGGCGGATTGGACTTGCCATCAACGCATCAAAGACAAAATACATGAAAGGAAGAGGTTCTAGGGAAGACAATGTTAGCCTCCCACCCCGAGTTCAGATTGACGGTGATGAAATCGAGGTGGTCGAAGAGTTCGTGTATTTGGGCTCACTAGTGACCGCTAAAAATGATACCAGCAGAGAAATTCAAAGACGCATTACGGCAGGGAATCGTGCCTACTTTGGACTCCGGAGGACGCTCCAGTCGAATAAAATTCGCCGCCGCACAATGTTGATTGTCTACAAGACGCTGATTAGACCGGTGGTCCTCTACGGCCACAATACCTGTACTATGGTCGTTGAGGATCAACACGCTCTTGGTGTTTTCGAACGGTGCAGTGCAGATGGATGACGGAACGTGGAGGAGGCGAATGAACCACGAATCGCACCAGCTGCTGGGAGAACCATCCATCGTCCAGATTGCAAAAATTGGGCGACTACGGTGGGCTGGGCACGTTGTAAAAATACCGCACGACGACCCAGTGAAAATTGTTCTAGAAAGCGACCCAACAGGAACAAGAAGAAGAGGCGCGCAGCGGGCAAGGTGGATCGAAAAAGTAGAAGGCGACCTGCGGACCCTTCGCAGACTACGAGGCTGGCGAAGTGTGGCCATGGATCGAGTAGAGTGGAGACGACTTCTTCGGACAGCAGAAGACAACAAGGCCTTAGCCTGATTGGTAAGGTAACGTAATGCTGGAGGTGGCTGGGTTCGATTCCCAGTTGGTCTAGGATTTTTTTCGGGTTGGAAAATGACTCGACTTCCCTGGACAAAAGAGTATGATTGTACTTGCCACACAATTAATTCTAAATCACAATTCCTAAAATTATGACGTTATGACGCTTGAAATGTATTTTTTTTTTCAGGCTCTGGCTCATGTATATTTTTCAAAGATTTTTATCTTATACATTTTTAAAAAAATAACCCCAGAAAATAAAAAAAAATCTCAAAATATTGCTGCACTTATTGATATCCATTAAACTGGAAGATAGTGTGCATTTTCGAATCGATTCGAGCATGAATATGACAATAAATCTGATTTTAAAAGTTGGTAAACAAAAGTTTGTTTTCCTTCAATCTTGTTTTACGTGCTGAGAACCAATGCTACCGACGCCAGGGAGGTAGCTCCCACACCTGGATCCTACCTATCAACCCATCAACTCATGAACAGGGGACCGACGGCTTTACTTTCCCCCATGATCAGAGAAATTATGCCTCAGAACATCCCGACGGCGCCGACTGGTATTGAACCCAGGCCTGCTGGGGTGAGAGGTAAACATGCATATCACTATACCACTGGTACCGCTGGTAAACAAAAATTGTGAGGCTATGCGACACCACTGGCAGTTTCTGGCAAAATATAGAGAAACAAAATAATTTTTGATCTACCTTCTCCAATTGGTATGAAAATTAGCGCAATTGTTATATCAACAGGATGTGCTACATCTGCTGTCCGTAAAGTCTCAAAACTTTTGGAAATGGTATTGTTTGGTTTTTCCTGAAGTACGGGAAACTCTTAAAGGTTGACATGTTCTGAATGCTCGCGAGGAGCTTGAATTTTTTGGACTCAAAATACTTTAAGACTCAGGGGCTGTTCATTAACTACGTAGACAGTTTAGGAGGAGGGGTTGGCAATTATACACGGCCCATACAAATTTTGTGTAATTATCTACATAGAGAGTGAGGAGGGGGCAAGAATCCTGAAAAACTGTGTACGTAGTTGATGATGATGATGATGGTCCCACCGCTTACCCCTACAAAGGTTTGAGCTAGACGATTAATCTTTAAGATAATTAAATATGACATTTTAAACAGGTTAGTGAACAAAATCAAACTGGTTACAGTTACAGATGTAAATTCCCTCTAGAATTTACAGTTGCTTCACAGCGATATAAATGTAAAAAAAAACTCAGACGTCCACCTCTTAGTTCACCTTTTTGTCCACCTAAAATATTCAGCCTAAGTATAACAAGCGATCAAGAGTTAATGAACAATCAACAAAGCCTCATATTACACTACCAACCCCGGAATCTGATGCTATCATAATTTTCAACAATAACAGGAATGCTCACGAACCCCCAACATTTGCCAGAAAACTTACTACTAACTCTAGGTATCTTCCAAATAAGCTTCAAAATTGCATTTTAAATTCAGTCCTCTATATCCATAACACGCGCGCGAGGCTCAAACCTTTGTAGACTAAGGTTGTTAAGGTAGTATATCTGAAAGGGGGCAACCCCGGCGTCGTGGTTAGCATCCATACCTCTCACGCCAAAGTCACGAGTTCAAATCTTACCCCGGACAAGTCACGAATGTCCCACGAGCGTTAACGGGACTATAATTAAAAAGAAAAGTATATCTGAAATATACTGATATCAAAAATTCATGTTAGCGTTCAATCGTATGACCTGTTTTTTAGCGGCAGTTCCTCTAAATCACCCTAGAATATGCTTCACCACATATTTGCTAAATATTTATTAATTATGTATGATATTCTCACGTTTCCTGATTTAGTAAAGATGGCCTAAAACGATTTTTAAATAGTTTTATGTTATAACTTAATAGAAATATGTACACGGTAAGTATGAACTTGAAGAAATGTAGATGATATTCAGTAATTGTTCAGCATAACTAAAATTTAATCCTTAAATTGTCTTTTGATTTATTCCATCTCATTTTTATACATCCTTAAATATTCAGCTGTTCACTAAACAAGACTGCAAACCATCAAATGTACTCATGCACAATCCTCCTTCTGCTCCTTCTTCTCCTGAACAGGAACAACACTCTCCAATCCCGCCATCTCTCGCGCGCTTGCAGTTTCCACCTTCGGTTTGAAAAGTGCACCTGTGTATCTCTCGGTTCCGAGTCACTGCAAGTTGGAGAAGGAAGTAGGAAAAGCAAAAAAATCCGACATTACAAGATCGAACCTCGCACAACGCCTTCTGCCAGCAGCACCCCACGGTAGGCGAGGGCATGTAAGCCAGTTTTGTCCGGAAAGAAACGTTTCCTCATCCGAAGTGTGCACCGTGCGCGGAATGCACTTTTTCCAGCTGGAAAAACTCCGCGTAAAAGATTGAACGAGACACAGCAAAAAAGAAGGAGAGAGAGAGAGAGAGCGTGTGTGGTGTGGAAGAACTCCATTCGGCGCCAGATACAAACAGTCCCCAACCTGACGACGAACTCGGTTAGGCGTGAGCGGACAGCGGACAGTTCCTCAACCGTGTAGTTCCTACCAACCAGAGAGACCAACCAAGAAACGTTTTTCTGTCACGCCGTTCGGCTGCCAACCGACCCCCAACTCCTACAACGACTGCAAGGTTGGGAAGTATCGACTGCAAAACCGTAGGCAAAACAGAAGATTGAAAAAAAAACACACAGTGAACACATAATCAGAAGAGCGCCGCCGAGAAAAAATTATAGCAAGTGATGGTAATCATAACATAAAACGGCCAACCAACGAATGTACGCGCGCGGTCGAAGTAAAAACGAGTGAAATTATAAATAAAAATATGAAAAAGAAAGTGAATTGAATTTTAATTCCCCCGCCCGAGAAGAGAAGCCGCCAGAAAGGGTAAACCGAAGAAATCCAAACGCGACTGGTGTGAAAGAAGAAGAAACCGAAGAATACGACAGAGAAGAAGAAAACCCAAGAGTGCAAGGGAAATAAAGTTTAAATAATTTAATAAAAGTGTGGAAATACATATCAACTGCGAAAACATGCTTATCTCAAGCTTCTAGCGTATGATAATGATAAAGAGTGAGACCAGTGCAAGTAAGAGAGCGAACCAAGGTAACGATTAATCCCTGGGTGAAAAAAGAAGAGGAAAAAGCGCCGTGGGTGAATGATCCAAAGTGTTTGTAGTTTGCACGCTTTCGTGTGTCACTTTTACTCTCAAGGCAGCTGCACGTATCTAGTTAAGTTTTGTGTTGAGACAGTTTCCTTTCCCAGTTTTCCCCCGTTATTAGATCTTAGTCCTTTCCCCCTCAACATCTCTCGGCAAGGGTTCAGAAGTCCTAAAGATTTCGTTTCGCTTCCATCTTTCTCCCTCTCCATCTCTCTCCATCAGCTCTTGAAGGTCATTGATGAAGTGGCTGGGCAGCATTTCTGATACGTTGGTTCCTAGTAGCATCAGCAAATCCATCTGCGACATTGACCCGCACCTTCGCACTCTTGGGGACCAGCAGTCCACTAATTAACCACCATCCCATATGAAGTAAGATGTTAGGTCCCACCAAATGGAGACTCCTAACGATAGTCGCCGGAATATTACTCGCACACGCCATTGAATCGCCGAACAGCAGGAGCAACAAGCTCAAGGGCCAAGTTCGAACCTTCACAAACCCGGATCTTGGTCTACGGATAGAACAGATCGATCCCTGGGGCAGTCGGACGATCACATCACGAAATCTTCTCGTCCCACATGAGACCTTCTCCAATATAGACAACGTCCGGTACATCGACAGTCGATCTGCGAACAGCCGCTTGTTGCGAAATACTTTTGGAGCATTTAGGTTTGCTGGTCCATCCCAACCTCAGCCATATCAGGTGCCTTTGGAGCAACCTCAAACCTCCCAGCAACGGAGGGCTAAATCTTTCCAAAACCGTCGTTCAGACGATGGATCCCAACAGCCGGGTGTGCGGTTAGTTCAACCCAATCTGCTGCCTCAGCAGAGCCCTGAACCCCTTCCCGAGGCATCAGTCCTCTATCAGGATGCCGATCCATACATCATTGGGCTACAAAATGTCACAAAAGCCCGTTCAATGCGGTACAAACTCATCCCCATCGGATACTTCTCCCAGGAACCTAACTTCACCCCTGTTCTAACCCCTGTTCAAAACACACAACCTCCAAAAACCACCCAAAATGATGAACCTCACGATGTGGCCTTTCCAACTGACGGTCCGCAGCACCAGCCCGTCCCCAATCTGCAATCCAACAGTTCCCAATCGGAGCTGAATGCCATGGGCGCCCGTCGTTCCGGAATTCAATTCCCTCCTGGTCCGTACAAAGTTGCCAGCACCTTCACTCCGCAAGGCTACAGCGAAGACAACTTCGCTTACGCTGACAACCTAGGCGTGTACCATCGCCCAGTCAACACAGCCGAGGACTATGACGAGTCAGATCCGTACGACACCTGGCAGCAACGCGCGCCCACAGTCGCGCCATCATCAGTAGAATCAGACCATGGGGATATATCCCGGAACATTTACGCCACTCGCCATTTTCGCGAGTTTCCACGGCCATCGCCCACTCCACTGGATCTCAGACCAGCCGAATCGGTGATTCGGTCAAGTCGTTTGATCGAGTTTCCCGGAGCAGTCAACGTGAAGCAACCATTTCGGGACGACGTGACCAAGTTTGGCGATGTGAATGGCCCGATAACGGCAGTGCAGCGTCCGTACGTCGATTACGGCGACGGGAAGCGCTACCGGGCGTACGATCCGAACTATTTCGTCAACAGTCCGTACCAGCCGTCGAACCAGCAGCACTACTTCCCATCGAAGCTGTACACCGAGCCGAAGATCTATCAACCGCCGTGGAAGTCGTCGCGCTCGCCACGGGTTGTGTTCCCGCAGGGTGACGTGTCCGGTCCGTCCGGGTTTGGTGTGGATAATGTGGTTTTCAGGTGAGTTAAGATTAGCATTTGTAGTTCCATTGTATTTTGTAGTTAGATATAATAATAAATGTTGTGGATATATTTGATTTCCATTACACCATTTTGAAAGGTACACCGTTTTGGAAGGTACACACATATCTTGGAAGATAGACAAAATATCGTATTGGTTTTTGTAGAAAATGACTTCCAACGTTCATTTGTCGAAACTACTAACTCACCCAAACAAAATATCATCACAATCGGATAGTGCTGTTAGTTTGTGTGGGCTAGCTAGGAGTTTCAACAAAATTACGTTTTAAGTCAAAATCAATTAGGGCGTTCGGACTTTTTGGATTATAACTCGTTGCTGTGGCTTTGCAGTTTTCCCAGGCACCAACTCCCTAAAGTCGTATATGGAAAATAGCCATGTTAAAATAATAATAAAAAAAAAACCTAAATAAATAAAAACAACTTATCCGAAGAACTTCGAAATTACAGCGTAATTGCTTTTGTAAACAAACATGTCAATTGCCGATTTCTCGCTAATTGAAGCTCCATCTACAAACCTACGTAAAAAGGTTAAGGAATAATCCCTCAATCATATGGTACGTATTTTTCACGAGATTTAGCATTTATTTGCGAGAAATCGGCGATTGACGTGTTAGTTTACAAAAGCAGTTACGCCGAAATCTCATTGTTCTTCGGACTTAACATAAGGGTGGCCCAAAATAACACTTTGTCTGGAAATCTGGGGGCTCAACATAAAAAGGATTGGGGTGCCAATGAAAATGATCCTCTTGAATTTCAAAACCTGATCAGGTGCAAAGTGTTAATTACTTGAAAAAACAGCCTGCTTAAAATTTTAGCTAGATTGGACATGTTTTAGGGGTGGCACAAAATCATCAGAGATTAAGTTTTTTTTTAATTGAAAAATCACCCAAGGGGGGCGAATTTTTGTTTCACGCCAATTGACTTGTACATGCATGAATCGTCGAAAACTGGTGTTTCCTCTCATTTTTTTTATTTTTCTATTAACGAGATCAATCTCGTAAAGAATTGGTTTGTCAAAAATCGACATTCTGGGACTTTTTCATGAGTTAGAGGCAGTTATGAAACATTGATTAATTGGCTTCTAAATCTGTTCACAGCTATCTCCATTTCGAAAACATCATTGTTGAGTATTTTAAAGTTTACTTTAGCCTTAAGACCGATGATGCAGGAAAAATTGTGTTTTGCTGTGGATTTTCTGCAAAAAGATGATGCGCGATGCAAGTAGATGTGAGAAATGAAAGTAGATTTTTCTAAGATTGATTCGCTGGTGTGAGATTTGTTGAGCATCTAGAATTGAGATTTGGATGTGTCACTCCCCTCGCTTAAGACACCATATTAGATCTTAGAAAACCAGGAGCAAGCATCTTGGATTCCAAAATGGCGTAAAACATTTTTTCTTTCTTTCTTTCTTTCTTTCTTTCTTTCTTTCTTTCTTTCTTTCTTTCTTTCTTTCTTTCTTTCTTTCTTTCTTTCTTTCTTTCTTTCTTTCTTTCTTTATTAAAGAGACTTTCAGCCATCGGCTGGTTCATCTCTGCAGGCGTAAACGTCATTTTCATTCCCAAAGTACCCATATTGTAGGGTATTTAACACTTTTTTAAAAACGGATTTTAGAAAACTGGAAGTCACCATTTTGGATACACATCGTTTACGATATTGAAATACCCCTATTACAGGATATGTAACAATATTTTTTAAACCGGAAGTTGCCACCCTAGCAATACCATTTGTTTTTCAGTGAGTAACAACAACCTTAGTGTGACTAATAGAAGGTCTTTTAAATCAAAAGAAATGTCACTAGCAGCGTTCTTTGATATTGACGGAGCATTTGATAATGCATCTTATAAATCCATGAAAACACTATGTTGAAGCGTGTATTCGATAAAAGCACCGTTAAGTGGATCAATGTGATGCTTTCTAAAAGAGAAATATCAGACAATCTTGGAAACTCATCCATAACAGTTAGTGCTGTAAAAGGGTGCCCTCATGGAAGTGTGCTTTCACCTCTTTTATGGTCTTTAATAGTTGACGAACTTCTCAAAAACTTAGAAGCAAAGGGCTTCGAGATTGGCTTTGCTGATGACATAGTCATAATAGCAACAATCAATACGAAACTATTGATTTTAAATTGGCTCACTACTTGGTAAATCGATTAACGCACCCCATTCTAGTCGAAATTCTAGTACTACACTATGTTTGTTTTGATTTGCTATGAAAGTTTTACAGATTATATGAGGGGTTATTGGATTTTCATATGTTTCGAGGGGTGAATCGATTAGCTTGGGACCGAAGATAGTACCAGAGCTGAGCCAAAAAGTTGAGCACGTTTCTTCGGGACCTTCTGGTCTTAGAGTTACCTCTATGATAATAGTACGAGGAAAATTTGATAATGTCATTTCAAATAGAATGCAAACTGCTTTAAATTATGTTTTGTCGTGGTGCGCCAAAGAAAGGCTGAATATAAATCCTTCTGCCCCGTAACGTGGGTAGATCACCTTTTCGTGATACGTAACGGGATGTAAGATCTACCACGGATTCCTAGTCCTGACTACTTCAAACTAGTGGAACAGGATTTTTCAGTAATCAAAGGAACATATCTTAGTCCTTGTTACTTTTTATGCCTTGTTGATAGTGACAAGACTCGGCTTTGTCCACCGAGGATGATCTTGAAACAAGGAAAAAATGAGTTAGTTAGTCTTAATCTATGTGATTCCTAATCTTCTATTCGTTGTTCCCTAGTTTGAAGTGGTTAAGACTAGGGTTCTGATGCATGGTCATTATCAATGTCATACCTTAATTTTATTGCTAAGGAATTCAATTTTGACTGACAAAGGGGTGCGCCTTTGGAGGGTTTTTCAACACTCCGAAGGGTATAAAGAGCGGGACCTTTCAATTAGAGTCGGATCCTTCCGATTAATGCAAGAATGACACCTGTAAAAAATCGAATACTTCATCATTTATCAATAGTGATGGAGTAATAAACCATGCACTAAACTAAGGACACGGGATATACGACAATAGACCAAATAACTAGAACAGAGGAAAAAAGTCCACTATTGTACAGTTCACACGGAAAAGGAAATTTTCTATATGTAACTTAGAATTGTGAAAAACTTCTTAAGAACTTTCACGAACAGTCAAGTATCTGGGAGTCATTATTGACAGTAAACTTAACTGGAATTCACTTTTAGAGCAGGTTGTTAGTAAGGCAATAAATGCTCTTTGGATGAGTAAAAAATACTTTTGGTAGGTAATGGGGCCTTAAACCAAAAAAATATCCACAGGATTTATTTGACGATTGCATAGTAAGACCCAGAATATCCTACGCATAATTGGTTTGGTGGTGGAAAACAAAAGAAAAATCGGCTCAGAGGAAGCTGAGGAGAGTGCAAAGACTTGCTACTCTCTCAATAACTAGTGCAATGAACAGCACACCGAGTATGGCACTAGATACTCTACTTTATCTGCTTCCATTGCATCAATTTATTCAATTAGAAGCTGAAAGGAACGCCTTAAGGGTTCAAGGAACAAAGTGCTTCCTTGAAGTGGATCTTACAGGACACCTTAGTATTCTAAAAAAGATTTATATTGATTTTCTGCAGAAAAAATATAATATCGATCTTTTATACAATGCAGCAGAATTTGATCGTTTGGGAAAGTGGGGGACCTAACATCAGTCCCAAAATCGTGTGGAAGCAGGGGTAACTGGTCCAATCTCTGTGGATTACTGGTCAGCCGTGTTCCAAGCAGAAATTCAAGCAATTCTTGAATGCTCTGCAATGTGCTTGCGCAGAAACTATAAACATTCGAATATCTGCATTAAGTCTGACAGTCCAGCAGCATTAAATGCTTTAAATCAGCATCATGCAATTCAAAACTCGTATGGGAATGTGCAATGTAACTTCAGTAATTGCTCTATCAAAACCAACTAAACCTATATTGGGTTGCTGGCCACTGTGGAACTAAAGTGAATGAACTAAAGGGAATGTGGAACTAAAGTTCTCTCTTAATGGAGATCAAGAAATAGAAAAAATTAAAGTGAAGATCAATTGGAACAACACTTCCATTGATAGGCAATCGAAACGGTTCATAATTCCGAACATTTCAATTACTAGCCAAATTCTTGAATTATCAAAGAAAGATCTCAGTGTCTACTTGTTTGATAACAGGACATTGTCATGAAGTTAATAGGAAAACTTCAAGATGATATGTGTCGATTCTGTGGCATTGAAAATGAAGACTCTGAACATCTGCTATTGCCTCGTACAGCAGTGTTCAATAAAAGGCGTATTTTTCTGGATAAGGGGCTGGCAAAACCCTTTGATATTTGCAATGCAGGTCCCAGTCAAGTAGTATATTTCATTCGAAATGCAATAATGAGTATGTTCGTGATTTAAACGTTCTTTATCAGTTGTACTGCGACATCGAGTGGTAGCGACATCGGTGCAGCTCCTCCGTCAGCAAGTTTCGGCATTATGAGCCACTAGTTCTGGAAATCCACCCGCTATCCAGTTCGCCAGCAGTTCCGGCAAATACGAGGTTCGTCTCTAAAGGATCCTCAACGGTTGCATCTCCGTTTGGCGGTATCAGCTCGACATCGGCATCATAAACTGACAACATATTTGCTGCCCCCAGCTCCAGCACCAATCAGGCTTCGCACCGTTCTATTTAGCCCTTTAGAACATCAGATTACGGCCACGCCAGCCGCTGTTGGCATCGTCTTTAGTCACCATCGTCCCCCGCCATCCGTAGTTCTATCGTTGAAGTTGGCACATGCATTACGATTTCTCCGATTTTGCCAATGTTGTCCAAAAGTATTTTGCAACATCAAAGTGACATGACATATTTGAGCCATGGTAGATGGTCACAACAAACCTTTACAGTGACAACGTTACGATGTTTGAAAACTTATAGATTCATATACGCTTAGTTAGAACAATATTACAAATAGGTTCTTCAACACTTCTTGGTTCGTCAACTTT